AGCCTGGGGTCCGCCGCGCTCCTCGGCTGGGGCTGATTGGCGCTGGAGTGCCCAGCCCGGAGGAGCGCTTGGCAGTCTGGGGGGTGGGAAGGACCCCCAGCCCTCCAGCCGGGCGCCCCGGCTTCTCCTGCCTCTCGCCATCCTGGCCGGGGGGAGCGGCGGCCCGCGGAGGGTCCCGCGCGCCCCGAAAGCAAAGCCCGGCTGAGTTTGACTCGGCTCCTGGTCCGGAGCCAGCGAGGCTGCGCTTCCTTTGCCCCCCCGCCCTCTTTCGTTCGTTCGTTCGTTCGTTCCCCCTTTGCTCTCCAGCTAATGACATTAATAACAGGAAGCTGATAATAGCAACAGCCGAAGATTAGGGCTGCGCTGCGCGGGCGGGCAGGCGCTCGGTTTTCCGGCCAGATCGGGGGGCTCCACCAAGGGCTTTGGCTACGGGAGTTTGCCCCCGCTCAACCAGGGTAATATCTAGGTCGCCCTCGGGCGTGGCACCGTCCTTAAGACGGACGTCAGACCCCTCGTCCACCCCTCCTTACCCCCCGAAATCGGGCCAGCGGTGACCCGAGAGTGCCTTGAAAACTCACTTGGAAAACTTTCCCCCAAGTTTCCCCCGTGCGGGTCTTGTTCGGTGCAGCGCCAGACGAAACGGCCCCCTCCTCCGTCTCCTTTTCTACGATTTGTTATCGGGATGTTTACGGTACTGTCGTTGATGGAAACGGGCCGCTCCGAAGGCCAAAGTTGGACAGAGATTCATCAGACTTTTAATAAATGAAATAACGGAGCGGGTGGGAATGAGAGCGAAGGGGGAAATTGTACTGAATTTGATGTAGGACGTGCTGTTGGTTTTAAACTGGAAGCCGGTTTGGATTTATCTGATGAAGGGAGTGAATAATAGAATAAGAATATCTAGCGTCTTTTTAAATATGAATCACCACCACTGGAAAGGTGGCAGATAATTAATACCTACTAAAAAGCTAGCTATGGTGAATAAAAATTAACATTGGGGGTGCAGACTTTGGGACAACCGCTAGATGGCGGCAGGGTTTATTTTTCTATCTCTCTTTGCTGCCATCTAGTGGTCGTCTGGAGACCTGTAGGCCAACTTGGGGCCTTGTTATCATAGACTTGCAATTAATAATAATACACCATCAGAACCAAACTAGGGCTCGTGACGTGCAAAACCAGGAATTGAAACTAATTTCTCATTGGGAGACAAGCCTGCCTCTCAAAGGGAACGGACCCGTAGAAAGTAGTGTAACACTTAAGTGCCCGCCCTTTATAGTAATGATAGAAGAGCAACTACCGTTAGGGAATTTACGCATGCGCGTTGACATGTAGGGCCTCCCTTTGCGGGTGAACGTCCGCCCTTCCTTCCACCCTTCCCCGCCGTTATGGCACGCATGCGCATTTGATTCGTGGCAGACGTGTGCGCGTGCGCACCACCCTGTTTCCTTTAACGGCGATAGGGGAAGCGTGAGGTCTGTTGGGACAGACAGTAGAAACAGCTACTACCTAGAGATAATAAAGTAGAGAAGGTGATTTCATTATTTGGGTGGAACGTTTCAGGGCTCCCTTGACGATTTTGAAACCATGGGTGCTGGCTAGGGAATTCTGAAAGTTGAAGTCGACGCATCTTAAAGTTGCTGAGGTTGAGCAACACTGGCTTACCCCAACCTTGCCCTGTAGTACAGTATTAGTACGGCCTGTTTAAGATTGAAGTTTGGACTGAGTTGTAGAAGTACAATTTACGCCAACCCTGTGGTGTTGGCCTGGTAACCTTTTGTAGGAGGAGCATCCATAATCCTGCAATGTATTCAGTATTATAAATACACAATTTTTACTTTCATTTATAATTTTTACATTGCTTATTCTGTCTCTCGATATACATGCACACACGTTATGTCCTTTCATATATCCTTTTTACACTGATTTATATTATTCATTACTATGAACACATGAGACTTCTTTACTTTTATAAGTTCTGTCTTGGCATACTTTTGCATTGTTACATATAAAAAGTATAATATTTTGTATGTATAGTGAAATATATATTTCTTATTATATAAATTATAAAGAGAGATATTGCACACCTTTGCTTTCTGATACAGTATTTATCTACTCATTTTTTTCTCTAGATAATACACACACTACATTGATACACACACACACACGCACGCACCCCTTTGCTGTCATATGTATTGTTTATTTCCATGTACAGTATTACTTTCACACTGGTTTTTATATTTCCCTATATATACAACTATAAACACCTATCAATCTACTTTCTTACTTCTGTATCGACATACTGGTGTTTTCATATATATTTCCCATCTTCTTCCATATATTATTTTGGTCCTGTTTGCAGTATAAAATCTATACCTCAGATGTTTTCAGTGTAAAATAATTTTAAAAATCCATACAAAATTCAAAACACATCCTGCTTTCGTATGCAATGATGCAGAGAAACGTCTTTTTTCTTCATTTCTGCTTCCAACTTGCTTAACGGGGTGGCGTATTTGCTGTTAATTGAAGGATGCCACAGAAGGTGGAAACAATTTTAAAATAATTGAACTCAGAATTACATTGCCACGTCTCTCTCCGTCTCTCCCCCTCTATTGTTCATAGCTCTATGTGGACCCGCCGCCGACTCTCCCTCTTTCTCCCTCTCTGTCTTTACTTCCGGTCTGGAAGGCGGACGTGAGAGGACTCCGCATGCGCAGTGCCGCGGCTTCTCCTGCAGCTGCTCGGGCGCTTCTTCCGGCCTCCCCAGTCCCCGATGAGGTTCAAGCGCCAGGAGTCCCCCTCGGCTCCTTAGGCCAAGCGGGGCTGACCCTTGACCCCGGAATTGAACAAGACTTGGACTCCCTTGACCTGTATTTCTTTAAGGGGGGCGCGCAGGGGGTGGGGGTCTTGAGGATTAATGCTGCCCCCAACTTCCTCAGGGGACCCCTAGGAATTTAAAGCGGACACTCCTCCCCACACACCCCTCGCTTTAGCGCCCCAATCGTGGGCGGGGCTCCTGTGGCCCAGGTGTGGAGGGTCATCCCCCTCTAGGAAGTGTTGGGGGGCATCTGGTCACCATTGCTGCCTGGGACCCCCTTTTGGGGGCCGGTCTCCAATCCCAGGGGTATCCCCCGTCCTTGTGTGGCTACGCCCGGGTCCTTCTCGGGGCGCCCCCATGGCGTGAGTGGCAGGGGGGAAGAGAAGCCAGGGAAGGAAGAGCCAGAAAGGGGGGTCCCAAGTTGGGGGAGGCATCCACAGCGGCCCGCCAGCCCTGCATGGGCAGCCCAGGCCCGCGGTGAGGCATTTCCACACAGGGCAGGGCTTGTGGCCAGTCCCAGCCAGGACCCGAGAGGGGCAGGAGAGGGTTCCGGATTCCCCAGCCCTTCCAGATCATGGGACTCAAGCTGCCTTAATGAAGGAACCTGGGAGCGCCAGCTGGGCAGTGGTGTTCCCTCTGGAGGAGGACGACGAGGAGGAAGAGGAAGAGGCGGCCCCACCGTGGCTATGGGGTCACAGGTCCTCCAGATCTTACGCCAGGGCGTCTGGGCTTCGCTGACCGGCGGCTGGTTCTTCGACCCGCATCAGAGCACCTTCTCCAACTGCTTCCACCTCTACACTTGGATCTTTCTGCTCATCCTCCCGTTCCTGCTGTACATGGTGAGTCTGGAAGCCAGAGGCCGGGCTAGGAAAGGGGCATAGGAAAGTCTGGGTTGACGGGCTAATTTCTGTCGCTGTTTCCCCTGGATTCTCTTTCTGGAAGACGTACCTCCTTCCAAACTTGTGCTCGCACCTAAAATGCTTCTCCTCTCCTCTTTGTCTTCCTGTTTCTTTTGCCTTCCTTCAAGACACATAAAAAGGAAGCTCGGGCCCCTGCTTGGAAGGGTGATGCTAGGAGGATGCTGGGCTGTTTAATCCAGCCTAGCCTCTTGCTCTGAGGGTGCTGCCCTCAGTTCCCTAATCGATGCTGTGTGGCTGCTTACTCAACCCTTCACTTGCTCTACCCATCTTTTCCTCAGAGGGATTTCTCGATCTCAGCACTTCCTGTGGAGCCAAGACAGTTCTTGGCTCTGGGAGATGATTACCCAGTTACATTTCCCAAATCGATGCAGTGCTCAGTGTTGGATGTCACATCTTGGAGAATGTAATTGGGTGATACCTGACATGAAATGAGGGCAGCGTAGGGGGAAAGAGATGAGATTAAAGAGTCTTCCTGTCCACAGGAACAACACTGGCAATTCTGAGGGCAGAAACAATGGAAACAATGGCATTTGATATATATTGAGGGTTATAAGAGTAACAGTTTAGCAGTGGCCCCTTCTGAGCCTCCTGTCTGGTTGACGCCCAGAATCTGGGATTCCTGAAACCAGCCCCTTGCACGATAGTGAAAATAAACTGCAGATATAAGAAAATTCCAGTGCATTAAGGAATCAATAAGGGTACTGAAGGTTCTGGAAATGTTGCCTTCTTATATCAATTAATTGCCATGACTGTTCAGAGTTTTGCTTTCATAGCCTGATTAAAGCTGCGTTGCTTTTCCAAAATGAGAAGTTGGAACAGGGAGATAATAAATCTTAGGCTGAATTTCAA